GTGTGTGTGTGTGTGTGTGTGTGTGTGTGTGTGTGTGTAGGAGAGAAATGTGAAACTAGGATCTATAGGAGACCTGAATACCCTGAAAATGAACACATTCTTAAATACAGGATACACCACTACACTAGAATTGACCAGAGACTCAATTCTAATTTCTTTTATCTGTGAGATATGTGATGTTTTCACCTATTTGCTCACCTGAAAAATGTGGATGATACTGTGTATCTCATTTGGTTATTTTGAGCATTTTATAATACATACATGGCACTTACTAATGTTTAATTTAAGGGAAATATTATATAAATGGCATTTAAGGACATCAACAATACTGGTATGTTCTAATTCAAGAGCAAGCACAGGATTTGTGGGGAATATGACGGTAGGAAGGGAGTATAGTCTCCTAAGAGCAGAGCTAATTAAAGATCCATAAAGGGAACGGAAATATTAACAACCTAAATGTATTATATACTTCTCTGTTGCAGATTTGTCAAAGTACTAAATTAAAAAAAAACACACACACACAACAAACTCTACTCAGTATGTGAAAAGCTCAGTAGATTTATACCTATGTATCTAAAAACAGAAGATGGTAGTTTACCTTGGGTATAAAGATAACTGTAGCATGATCACTATTCTTAAACCACCATTCCACTAGTGACAAATAGTAAATTAGTAGTCTTATTTCTATTATAATAAAAAAGGAAAAAGTCTAGAACTTAGTGGGGTAGAGGCATGATTATGCTTTTCAGAAAACTTCTGGACATCTCCTGGTCAGTCACCTCTTACATGATCATGTGCTGACTTTACAACAATGTGTCTCTTGGAGACACATTCCCTCTAATCCCAAATGAGAGCAGCTCCAGAGTCAGAAAGGGCACTCACACGCTTCCTAGCTGTAAACTAGGTTATAGAACCTCTGCTCATGTGTGGGATAATATCTAAAGAGAATAGCTTAACACAGTGGCTGACAAGGAACAGATACTCAATAAATTCTTCTGAATAAATGAATATAGTATAAAACTTTTTAAAGAATTAGCAGGGGCTGGACATGTAGCTCAGGAGTAGAGCACCTGTCTGGCACAAGCAAGGCCTTGAGTGTGATTCCAAACAAAAAGGAAAAAAAAAGTGACCTATAATTTATAGATTTTAATCTGCTTACAGAATTTTATGCACCTTTTTTTGAAAAAAATAATTATTTTTTAGTTAGAGGTGAACACAATATCTTTAGTTTATTTTTATGTGGTTCTGAGGATCGAACCTAGTGCTCTCGCATGCTAGGTGAGCGGTCTACCTCTGAGCCACAACCCCAGCCCTGTGTGCACTTTTTAAAACCCATGATTTCTAGAACCTTTCTTACAGTTTCTAAAGCTGGTAGCCAAAAGAGCTTTCGGAAAATGCAAATGTGATCAGGCTACACAGCTTGCTGTAGATAGGATTGAACATGGGCCTGCACAACCTAGGTAAGTGCCCTACCACTGAGCTACATCTCTAGTTCTTTTAAAATTTTATTTTGAGACAGGGTCTCACTAAGTTGACTAGGTTGACCTCAAACTTTCAATCCTCTGCCTCAGCTTCCTGAATAGCTAAGATTATAGGCATGCACCACCATGCACGGGAGGATGAGGCTTTATGATTTCACCATGGCACACCAAGTTCTTTATATCATCTAGCCCTGTTTGCCTCTGTAGCCTCACTTCTTACCCACCCCTCTTTATCTTTGCAACCTCATTTTTTTTTTTCCCCAGCCCAAAGTGCTTTCCTCTTCAGGCCTTCATAGCTGCTGTTCCTTCTGCCTGACTTGCTCCTTTTACCTCCAATCTTTACTTAAATCCTATTCTTTCTCCAGGTCTTGCTTCTCTGGGAAGTTTCTGAAGATGTTCTCCAATCCCTACTCTCCACACTGGGTCTGGGACTCCTCTTCCTCCTAGGTGCTCTCCTAGAATCTAGGACCCTGTTTCATTAGGGCACTTCTGCTATAATTGCTGGCTGGTACTTGCCACTGGACTATTGTACCCATTACTTTAACCTCAGGGCCTAGCACAGAGTAAGAGCTAAGTAAGTGTTTGCAGAATAAATAAGATACAGGAATTCATAATGTAATTCTATGCCAAGGGGCCTGTATGAATTGACAGGCTATATATTTTCTGCTTCAATAATGTCCCATTGTTACCTTTATTTGCTTGAAAATTCACGCAACAGCTCCTTCTTCAAGTTTATAGGCCTGTTATGATAATAAGACTTACAACATTGCATCCATCTCCCCCCTCAAGCCACCCCCTACTTTTTGGCAGTGCTGGGGATGGAATCCAGGGCCTTTTGTGTCCTAGGCAAGCGCTCCACCTCTAACTATACTCCCAGTCTCATTTACTTCTATTTAATCCAATTCATCTAAAAAATAGCTTAGGAGTAGTATTCACACCAGTGAAGACTTTAGGTTTATATTAAAAAAAAAACTATCAATTTACTAAAAAATGAGGTATAAGGATAACAAAACTATTTAGTCATAGTTTAGCTTAAGAAAATTTATAAACCTTTCATAAGTAAATATAAGCTCAAATGTTAATAGATTTAGAAAAACAATGTGATATTCATGTACTTTATAGAATCATTGTAATGGATCAGTTTCAAAATCCAGCATTGCTCTTTGAAGTAAACTTCAATTAGTAAGGAAAACTGAGTAGAAACCTAATATTAAAACCAAATCATGGGATGGGGCTGTAGCTCAATGGTAGAGTGCTTGCCTAGTATAGGTGAGGAACTGGGTTTAATCCTCAGTCCTACATAAAAAAAAAAAATAAATAAAGGTTAAATCTTAAAAAAAAATCACTTTAGTAAAGGCCTAATTCTATTGAGGCTGAAGAGAAATATGTTTAGAAACAAAGACAAACAAAAACATCTAAATGTATAAATGTATTTTTTTCCCTCTCCAGATTTTTTATTGGTGCACTGTAGTTATAAATAATGATGGGATTTTCTGGGCCCAGTGGTGCATTCCTATAGTCCCAGCAGCTTGGGAGGCTGAGGCCCTAAGCAACTCAGTGAGACCTTGTCTCAAAATAAAATATGAAAAAAGGGCTGGGGAAGTGGCTCAGTGGTTAAGTGCTCTTGAGTTCAATCCCCAGTACCCCTCCCTCACAAAAAAAGATAGGATTTGTCATTACATATTTTTGGTTTTCTATTGCCACTTTCAGATATGCAGACATTTACCTTTAAATACTATGAGATGTAAAACATTATCAGCAGTTTTATATATACGTCAATACTAAGTATGAGGTGAATAAAAATGTTTTAGTGCAAAGAACTACAATAGAACTTCAAGTCTTTTAATAAAACAAAATCATCCCCCTTTTGGGGACATACTAACCCACATCATTTTAATAATAGAGCCTGATAGTCATTACCCTGAAATATATGAAAAATTGTAAAATCATGTAGTTTCTGGACAGTTTATAGTCACTCAATGTTTTAGCAGTCCTTTGGAGACAATGATAAAAAGGTAGAATTGTTAACAGTACTTATCACTGGAAGGGAGATTAGGAGTTGTGAAATATTCTGCATTACTGCCTGAATCCAGCCACTAGTGCATTTATTGCTTATAATTTTTAGAAAGTAACTTAATATAGTTATTAAAAATAAACTCTAGCTGGGCATAACACACACCTGTAATCTCTGTAACTTGAGAGGTTGAGGTAGGAGGATTGAAAAATTTAAAGACAACTTCATCAACTCAGTAAGAATCTAAGCAACTTAGTGAGGCCCTGCTTCAAAATAAAAAATAAAAAGAGCTGGAGATGTAGCTCACTGGCAAAGCGTCCCTGGGTTCAATCCACGGTACCAAAACAAAACCAAAAGCTCTAAATGTACCAACAAAAAAATTCTCCAAGATTTATTAAATATGAACAAGAGAAGACAGAGTAATATGTATATTGTGATGCTATTTATAAAACAAGATATGTATGTGAAACACGTACTCACGTGCACACACAAAGATCTGTAAGGAAACCCCTGTTCAGAGCATCATTGATAAGAGTCCGGGGAAAGCAGTGGTCATGGATGAAAATACACTTTACATCATACTTCTGTTATCATTTCTCACTTTTTCAACAATAAGCACAAATTGCTGTTGAAATGAATTAACTCAAATTTAAAGTTTTGGCATAGAGCTGTTGAGGATGGTTTATTTATAAATGTTATAAAACATATAATCTAAAGCCTTTCAAAGTACAAGTTGTATGTGGAAGCTCAGATCCTGAGTGCATGTAGGTATTTAGTTATTTTTGCTTTCAAGTCCATCTTTTGGTCAACAGAAGTAGCCTTGGGGAGAAAACAATGTAGGCAATTGCTTCCTCATCTCTAAAATGGGAAGAAGACAGCAGTTACCACACAGGTCACTATAAAGACCAAATAAAATATCCCTTAAAAAAAAAAAAGTTCAGCCCAGTGCCTTTCCCACAGTAATAGTTAAGTAAGATCATTACTCATCTAGAGTCTTAAATACTTTCTTCTAAGCACTTCCAAAGCCAAAAGTAGACAGACTGCTTACATTTGGTCAGAATCCTTTGGATATTTTAGGGGATAACAGCAGAATTTGATTTTAAAGCTGAAACTTCAACTTTGTACCATAATTCTGGGTTTGAAAAGCCCATAGCGTCTTCCTTCTTCAGTCATTGTCTTTTTTCTTAATCAAATATTTATTTTTTTAGTTGTAGTTGGATACAACAGCTTTATTGTATTTTTATGTGGTGCTGAGGATAGAACCCAGGGCCTCACACATGCTAGGCAAGTGCTCTGCCACTGAGCCACAACTCCAGCCCCTCCTTCTGTCATTTTCCTACCTTAGTCACTTGTATACTCCCCCAATCTTATTTTATTTAACATCAAATAACCTGCATCTTGGACTCCCATTAGTTTTTGACCCCTGCACTGGAAGGCCTAAGAGTAGTCAAAATTTGACAATGGCAAGTTACAAAATAAACTGACTTTAAGAAAGGTGACAATTAGGCCATTTCTCTGAGTGTTTCTAAGAGAAAAGGGGGCTCTAAGTGCATCAAAGTAGAGTGGGAGTTTATACCAAATAATACCTATGCTACCTTGGGAATGCTCTATGGACCATTTTTTATGATGTTTTTCCATCAAAATTGGAATGTTCCTCACAACTATAATCATGTAAGTGCTGAGGCTGAATGTTTAAAGAGTCTGAATCTGGTGAACTTTTATACTTGGAACTGTGTTGTCAAATATGTGCAAAGAAAACAATTCTTTCTCCTACAGAACTGTTAACACAAGTCAGTTTTTAAAACACATGTGAGAAGGCCCTCCCACTGTGAGCCACAACAGTGGTCAGTGCCTGCACATCTATAAGGAAACTAGCTCAAATTGAGAAGCCTAGATGGAGTTTATATGGTTAGTGTGTGGCAGAGCCAGGATTGGAACACAGGTCTAATTCAAAGCTCATGTTTACAAAATACCGTTGTATAGGAGCACTATTATTTATCTCAGAACATGTACAAATGGAAAACCCATTTTTGAAGCTTCTCAGGGCAATGAAGAGGAAATGAAACAACATATGTGAAGTGCCTGTCATGAAGCTAAGTGCATCCTGGAATTCAAAACCTATTTGTTTCATTTCTCTTTTCCCTGGAATAACATAACAATGATGTTCAATAAATGGGAACCTTAAATATAAAAATTAGCTTACTCTATGTCTTATTTTAAGGCTGACATCAAAAGTTCTGATCAACCAATGTTAATTAACTATTGTACTTTAATTTGAAAGTTATATATAAATAGTGATATGTGCAAGGTATAATGAAGGACAGTTTCTCAAATATTCAAAATAAAATGTGGTATCAAAAATTTATAAATCTCCTGCTATTTTACCTTTTCCTTCTAGCAATCCTTGGAATTTCATTATCACAGAGAAAAGGTTTGCTTACTGTTGAGAAAAGACTTCTAACTAAATTCCACATAATTTTAAATAAAAATAAGAAACACAGACATGCGTAGTGGTGTACACCTGTAATCCCAGCAGCTTGGGAGGCTGAGGCAGCAGGATCTTGAGTTCAAAGCCAGCCTCAGCGAAAGCGAGGCCCTAAACAACTCAATGAGATCCTGTTTCTAAATAAAATACAAAATAAGGCTGGAGATCTGGCTCAGTGGTTGAGTACCCCCGAGTTCAATCGCCGGTACCAAAAAAAGAAGAAACACAACAGATTCTACTACAAATGAACTGTACGTATTTTAGAAACACTTCTTGTTATGGCTATAAGACACAAGATATACATTTACATTTAAAAAGTCATATAAAAAGCCATACTATTTATTTATATGTATTCTTTTATGTTTATAAACAGAGGTGAATGAACATTCCATTTCAACAGACAGGAAACAAATATGGCGACTTCTTACAATTTTATTTTCCCATTATAAATTAAACAAGTAAAGATAATTTAGAGTAAGAATTTCCAAGTTACTTTAATGCTGAGTTATATTACTTATTGTGAATATAAATCATTGTCATAATCACTGTAAATACATTTTTATTTCTGAATTTTAGATGCATGATTAATTATTTAATCTAAATTGTAAACTAGTGCAAAAGGTTATGGTTGCCCTTGGATTAAACTATCTTGGCTTCGAATATGAACAGCGGTGGGCTGAGTATATAGCTCTGTTGGTAGCATGCTTGCCTTGCATGCACAAAGTCCTGGATTCAATCCAAACAAAAACAAACAAAACAGTGACATTTAAAATTCAACTGATATTCTACTTCATATCAATGGACAACAAGTAAACAGCTGATGAGACAATTTTATTTGAAATGTAACTTAAAATTCTCAGTTAGAAGGCAGTTACACATTGATTAGACTATATTTAAATTTATGTCTCTAAATACTTCAAATTTATCTCCTGGATTGGAATTAAAGTGTTTTCATTTTGTTTGCAACTTCTAGGGCTAAGCATTACACACACACACACACCCCTTGCCTTTTTTGCAGTAATGGGTATCGAATCCAGGTCTTGTGCATACTAGGAAAGCATTTCACCACTGAACCACACTCTCAAGTCCCCCTTTTTCTCTTTTGTAAAAAGGTTACTCAGTTTTCATAGGTATTAAAAAATAATTCAAAATATGAGTCTAGTAAGAGCAAAGCTCTGTGCAAGATCTTGGGTGATTCAAAGATGACCAACTCTTATTACACAACATAATGATACACTAGGTGACAGAGTAAATGAAGCAGGTGCATATGTAATTGCAAACAAGTTAGAAAATGAAAAAAAACTAAGAAAAATAAATGTTTGGAAAGTTGTCAGGAAGTAGAAAATATCTTTAACTTGGAATGACTAGGATGAAACAAGGTATGTGAGTAGCATGTCAGTTTGGTCTTAAAAGGTTTAGATAGAATTTGAAGATTTAGCAATAATAGGCAAATCTACTCCAGGAAAAAGAAAAACAAAGCCCAGAGGGAGAGTTTATAAAAAATAATTTGTTTGAAAATAAAATATGCAATCAAGTACTATGCTTTAAAACTCAGACTTTAAGTAGAAATTGTTTTAAAATGTTATTTCATTATGATTACAGATATATAATCTCAGAGTCCCTTAACTGTCATTCATGAAGCTGAAATTAATTTTAATCTCTTGTATGTTTAACTGAAACCAGCATTTACTACTCTGATCTGTTGATAATGGTTTTTAGCTTAGTTCCATTATTCTCTAGGAAGTGCATTCAGACTAATCTGCTGAAGAGGAAACAATTACAAACAGAAGTAAAATGAACTGCCAAATCCACTGAACTGCAACAGAAGAAAGAATGTCAACACTGGAACAATGGAGAGGAGGAGAAGAGGGAGTAATGGGTGGGTGAGTGGGGACAGTGAGTCTGCTAGTTTGCATTTATTTCAAGTCACACACTCTTGGAAGTTGACCAAATTGCTAAAGAAAAATTAGGTCATTTTGTTCAGTTGCTTCTCTGTCAGATTTTTAATTCAATAAAATGTAATCATGTTCATGATTAAAAATATGGCAAATGCAATATGAAGTCCATTTTGGAATGAAAGTTATAAATAAATTTCATCTTCCAAAGATTAAAAATGCATTTTTGATCCAGAGAAAAAGTTTAAAGTCTTCTGTAAAATGTCCAGCACTGAAATATTCATGTAGATGTTGATAATTCTGAGCTATTTTGTTCTGAGGTAGGTAGTACTTATGCCTGTGGGTTGTTAAAGTTCTAAGAAAATCTACAGTTCTTCTAAAGTGTGGCATTTTTCTCAAAAACCTGTAAAACAATAAGAGGTTACCCTCATTGGTAAATAGTTTTGACATTGTGAAAACAGAGTGTGCTAAGGTCATTGTCAAAGTGATCAATCACCTAGTTCTTGCAAGGTTCTTCCAATCTAGTCATTTATTTTGGAATTTTATATAGAAGCATTGCTATCAATCAGGTTTTTTGTGTAGCTCGAGCACACATACACACAAAGAAAAATAAAAAACACCCACAAAAACCTTCACAACATTGCTGGGAAAGCTGGAACTGAGGTCCACTAAATAAGATAGACAGAGGGCTGCCAGGTATGGACTCCACCAAATGGAAGCCAGGTGTGGCCAATGAGTCACCATGGCACCCTGGCCACAAGGACTCCTGCTCTGCCTGACAGTGAATGTCAGCACCACATCACAGCTGTGATGTGACTTCTTTTTCCACTAGATGTTGATGCCCCATTCTGTTTCCAGAAATAATTCTCTATAATAGTCTGCTTTTTGTCATTAGATCTTATTTCAAAAAACCTAGTTGACAAGTTGAAGCCCTATTCAACAGAGAACTAGGAAGCAAATCTTTGGCCCTTTAGACTTTTCCACTGGGAAGTGGGCTCTGCCATCTATTAAGACCTATACCATGAAGAATTCTCCAAAACTAGGAAGAAGGTTCTAATGCTGGGCAGCCAAACAAGTCAATGACTCATACACAAATAGAAAAGAGAATGGCAAAGAACAGAACAAAACCCTCTGTCCTCTAACTGTTCTGGAGCAGCCTGAGTGGTGACCCACACAGGTTCCTGTCCTCGTAGTTTTTTAAATCTCCTCCCAAGGCCTACATTACTCACACCCCAAACAGTTCAGTGAAAAATTGGGCTCAGGACTGAGTCTTCCAAGTTGATGTTCAAGCATTACTGTAGTCTGCTATTTCATTTCTATGATGAGACCACGGCTTTCCACCCTCAACCCTGCGATCTGTCCTCAAATGCCCCTTTCTCTAACCATGCCCAAATTCCTGGCCTCAGACTGGAACCAAAACTGGTTCGAGTCACAACTTGATCCCTTACAAGCCTGGGAAAAGACTAGTTGTTAATCTCTGAGCCCCACAATACTGTCAGAATGACCAAAAAAGAAAAAGCCCTGTGTAAACTAAGATTATAAGCATGATCTCATTTGTTAACAATCCTCATAGATATGATAAATTCTTCAGTCCTTTAGGACTGTGGCCTTCTCTAGGTCTCTCTGGGTCTATAAAAGGCACTGATGTCACATCTTTTTTCTTCAGTAAAAAATTAATTCTGAATCAAATTTGTATATTCTTATAATTTTAAGTCTAATAGCACTAAACACTCTAAAAACATTCCCCTCTTTAAAATGTCCAGCACTGAAATATTCATGTAAATGTTGATAATTCTGAGCTATTTTGTTCTGAGGTTAGTAGTACGTATGCCTGTGGGTTGTTAAAATTCTAAGAAAATCTACAGTATCTCTTCTACTCTTAGTCTTCCTCCCCAGAGGCAACTACTGCCAGTTCCTTGGCTTTTTCTTCTGATATTACCTCCATATTATAAGTTTTACTAAAGTACTATTCTGTGTTCATGATTAAATATTGCTTATTGCTCTAAAGCTATATACTAGAATTATATTTTCTTTCACATGCAATTTTAAATTACTTAGAGATATTTTCTCTTAACCATTTGCTTGTCTATGAATTTAATGCTAATTCTTCATGAATGCAAAAGATCCATAAAATCTCTTTCAGTGCTACTTAAATGCTGAAACATGTGAGTTTCAGATTTCCTCCCAGACACCTCCTTCCTGAAGCTTTTCACCCTCCTAGTCCAGTCTGGATTGGACTTTCACTAGAGCAACTACTCAGCTCATACCAAGGTTTCCCTTTGCTTCTCTCCTGTGCTGGACCCCAGTTTTCTGGATCTCATATCTCTCTTTTCTTTGGTGGAACACATCCTCAGTAGCTTCTTCAGTACGGAAGCAGGGGAGATAGATTTTTTGAGGCACGACTGAAAATGTCCTCATTTAGTCTTACACTTGATTGGTGATTTAGCTAAATATAGAATTTTCCGTCAGCTCTTTGAAGGCACTACACCTGTGTATTGTAGTATTCAGTAGCTGCTACAATAAAGTTTAAAACCATCTGATTCCTATTTCTCTATTATAAGACCTATTTTTTCCCCTTATTATAATTTTAGAATCATCTCTTTTGGCTTAGTGTTCTGAAAAGGAAGGAACTTTTTCATATGGAAATTCCTTTAAGTTTGGGCCATAATTCTTACATTACTTATTAGACATCATCTTTTCTTTGTTCTTCTCTGGTATATAAAATTCTAAAATTACTATTTTCTAAAATGTCAGATCTTCCAGATAAATACTCTAGTTTTCTTACATAATCACCCTTTTTGACCATCTTTGTTATTAGCTACTTTCTACAGTTAATTTTACTTTTCATTCTGCTATTTCCAAGAGCTCCTGTTTTTGCTTTTTTGTTTTTTAAATTCAATATTTATTTTGCAGTGCTGGGGATGAAACCAATGGCTTTGGGTACAGTAGGCAAGTGCTCTACTGTACTATACCCTGAGCCATGTTTTTTCTTTTATATCATCCCACATATGACTCACTGATTCCATTAAATGTTGTTTTTTGGACAATTTTAATTCCATGGAAATTTTCTTCTCCATTCTGTCTCTGCTATTAATTTGTTATTTTTCTTCTGATCTGTCTCAATTAGTTAGCTTTCCTCAAATGTCTAGTGACCTTGGACAGGTTTTCATATATATAAGTTCAAGTAAACAATAAATAACTGGAAACGTTGCTGTGTAGGAAGGATTGCTGATTGTAGTCTTACTTGTACAACAAATGGAAGCAAACTGGAGTTTTCAATGTGCAATGAGTCTAATCTCATTGTGGAAATCCAAAACATCAGTATCTATAAGTGTCTATACTTTTGGGCTGTTCATCATTCCAGAGCTCCAATTCCTTCTTATACTTTGCTGGCTAGTACTAGAGCAGGGGAAAGGAGTAGGTGATCTTACCATCTAGATTGTAGGCTTTCACATAATTCCCAATTTCAATCCTGTGGCTCATTCCAATACTCCTCTACAGGTATTTCCAAATTGAGAATCTCTCTAGCTCAATTTCTTTACAAAGTTTGGAAAATTTTAGGGAATTTCAGGTCTGTTTTTATAATTGGTTGGAGAGGGCAATTGATAGGGTAAGTGAGGGAGAAGAAAAGGGTTTATCACTTGGTTAGAGTGTTATTAATACAAAAAGGCAAATGGATTATTGGAACAAAACAAAAGAATGAGTACTGACCTATATATAGAATTTATGTACACACAGGAACTTTAAGGGTAGCACAAATTAAGGGAGAATGGCTTGTTTAATATAGGATACTCGCCAGGTGTGGTGGTGCACACATGCAATCCCAGTGGCTTGGGAGGCTATAATCAGAGCGGCTCAGGAGGCTGAGGCAGGAAGATCACAAGTTCAATGCCAGCTTCAGCAAACTAGAGGTGCTAAGCAACTCAGTGAGACCCTGTCTCTAAATAAAATACAAAATAGGGCTAGAGATGTGGCTCAGTGGTCAAGTGCCCCTGAGTTCAATCCCTGGTACCAAAAAAAAGAGGATACTCAGCTCAATATATAGAGCATTGCAAAACTGCATCCCTTTCTAATAGCATAATACAAAGATGAATTCCAGGGCGCAGGAAAGGGCCCAAACACTCCATACTGAGACTTAAATCTGAAACCCTATCTTTAGTTATTCACTTTGCTTCTCTCTTCTTTCCAGAGTACTTAGTACCAACTGGTCTAGGTCATTCCAGAGTTCTGAGGATGAATAGCCTCCCTTCTCTGGAGTAGCCCCCCTTAGGTCTAAAATTACAGGCCCCTGTCTCTGTTATGCTAGTCATTATTTCTCTATTTACTTTTTATCTTCTAAAATTTTCAATAACCCTTTATCCAACTGCTATTTTCTTCCAGATGCCCCTTTCCTGGAGAAATTATATATTTTTTTATTCCTTTAGAAGAATAACAGGGCTTTGAGGGAAACAAAAATAAATTCAAGTTCAATTTGTGACATATACATGGAAATCAAGTGAAGTTAAATCTGGTCCTAAAATGCCAGGCATACAGCTATAGTTGAGGCCCTCCTACCTACTTGAGATTGCTTCCTGGCTGCTCTTGCCTAATGCCACTGCATAAAAAGCAGTCTGTGTAGGGCAACAAGTTTCTCTTTTACTTCCTTGCCAAATCACCCTGGTTGTCTGCCTCTACTGCTTGTTTTAAATAATTGCTCTTAAGTTTCTTTGTCTACCTTGAAGAGTGTAGGTAGTCTCAGGGTCCCAGACCCCTTATTAGAATGTGTATCCTTTTCAAACTGGGCTTTATTTTTATTTTTCAATTCTTAAAATTGTGGTAAGCCAGGCATAGTAGCACCCATTTATAATCCCAGTAATTTAGGAGGCTGAAGCAGGAGGATGACAATCTCAAGGCCAGTTAGTGAGACCCTGAGCAACTTACTGAGACTCTGTTAAAAAATTTAAAAAGATGACTAGGGATGTGGCTCAGTGGTAGAGGGCCTCTGGGTTCAATCCCTAGTACCAAAATTAAATAATTAAATTATGGTAAAATACATAAAAATAGAGTGGTAAATTTAATGTTATAAGTGTTTAGTTCAGTGGTATTCAATACAGTCAGATGTGCAAACATCATCATCATCATCCATCTCTATAACTCCTTTCATCTTTATAAATGAGCCTTGTTCATTTGAATCACAAAACAAGAACAAAATGACTCCTCAATTCTCTGCAAGATGGTATATAACTAGTACCATGCTAGATGCATGAGAAAGACAGTAATTCATTATACACAATAAATGTCTCAGCATATTATAGGTTCAGATTACAGAATCCTTGTTGAGAAGCTGATTGCAGAGTGATAAGCAACCTGATACTTAACAATAGTTTTCTAAATGCAATGATAAGAGGTACATACCAACATCCTACAGTGATAAAATTATAAGAAAATCTTAAAATAAAAAATTGCCTAGTAAAAATCTATGAAATATGCTTAGCATGTGTTTGATTAATAAATGTATTTTTAGAAAAAAAGGGCCAGAGGTAGTATTTGCTTAGCACATAAAAGGCCCTGTGTTCAATGCTTAGCACTGAAGAAAGAAAGAAAGAAAGAAAAAGAAAGAAAGAAAGAAAGAAAGAAAGAAAAAGAAAGAAAGAAAGAAAGAAAGAAAGAAAAGACAAGACAAAGTGGTACTGAAAGATTTATGTTGCCATACTGATTATCACTTGGCAGCTAACAATTATTGAATTTATCAGGCACCATTCATCATTTCCTTTAATCCTCATAAAGCTTGCAGTTTATTATTAATATTATTGTTTTTAAAAATGAGAAAATGGCTTTAGAGAGGTTGTGCAATTTGTTTAAGGACAAAAAAGTTAAGACATGATGGAAAAGGATTCAAACCCAGCCTGTCTGGTTCTAGAACCTGAGATCTTAAGTTTTATGGTATAAAAATCACTCCCCAAATGACCAAATAGTCTACATCCCATGGAAATGAGGTAAAAGTTAAGCAAAGTTATGGTGCATTATAAACTCTAATTGAATATTATCATAGGTATGGGGGAAAGATATATCCCACATGGAACACAACAAAACAGCAGACTAAAAAAAGCTCCAAACTGTATTTTGAATAATGGAAGGAAACAGAAGCAGGTATAATATTGTTTTTGTTTAGAGTAACTAGATTAATACAAGATTTATTTCATATAACATATAAAATACAATTTCTAGCTAAATGACAAACAAAACAAAAAGCCAAAAAACCCCCTCTCATTTACGAAAAGATAAGTAATCAGTATCATTCAAAGATCCAAAACTGGCTTACAATTTTACTCTTTATTCAGTTCTTCTTCTTTTATTTATTGTTTTGGTACTGGGATTTAACCCAAAAGCAATTTATCACTACATCCCAGCCCTATTATTATTATTATTATTAATTTTTTTATTTGTAGTTAGACACAATACCTTTATTTTATTTATTTATTTTTATGTAGTGATAAGGATTAAACCCAGGACTTTGCATGTGCTAGGCAAGCACTTCACCACTGAGCCACAACCCCAGCCCGTATTATTATTATTATTTTTAATATTTATTGAGTTGTAGATGGACACACAGTATCTTTATTTTTGATTTTGAGACAGGATCTCGTTAAATTGCTTAGGGCTTTGCTAAGTTGCTGAGGTTGACTTTGAACTTGCCATTCTCCTGCTTCAGCCTTCTGAGTCACTGGGATTACGGGTATGCATCACTGCATCCGGCTCTCATTCAAAACCTCCGACAAATTTGATTATATACAACAAAGAAATGGTAGGTCAACTGCTAGATTTCTTCCAAAAACATTTTTCTTGTCTTACTAACATAATAATTCTTATTTTGAATTAGTAAAAATGTATTTAAATGACATTTTCATTGTGGCAAAAAAGAATAAACTATTACTAAAAAGATAATGGTGAAATAAAATATTTAAAAAGATTGTTTACATAAAAGAAACCAGAGCATTTTTGTATTTATTTTTATTGGTGCCTTCTGAACTATTCTTCCCATCTTATGACTGGCCTGTTATTTAACTGGGACTTTTATTTTTTAATTTCTCAAAGCCCTATTAATTGATTCATATGTATTCCTTTCTTTCCCTTTTTTGGGGTGTTGGAAATGAAACCTAGGGGTCTTGAACATGCTAAGTGTGTACTCTCTCTTTGCATAAGTTGGTAAACTCCTTTTGCTCTCCCATAAAAATCCTCTCCACCCCCAACCTGCAGTACAGGGGATTAAACCTCTGGTACTCTACCAATGAGCTACATCCCCATGCCTTTATTAAAACTTTGATACAGGGTTTCACTGGTCAAGTTGCCCAGGCTGTCCTCAAATCTGCAATCCTGCCTGAGCCTCCTGCAATGCTGGAATACAGGTGTGCACCACTGTACCCAGCACTGAAGATCTCTTTCCATCTCTGAAATGTTAGGATTCTAACATTTACCAACAGATACATACTTTGATCATTTCCTTCTTTTTAAATATTTATTTTTTAGTTGTAGTTGAACACAATACCTTTATTTTAATGTGCTGCTGAGGATCGAACCCAGGGCCTCCCACGTGCTAGGTGAGCGTTCTACTGCTGAGCCACAACCACAACCCCCTTACTTTTTCCTTTTGGTGCTATGGATCATACATAAAGTACTGAGCATGCTAAGCACATGCTCTATCACCAAGCTACACCCCCAGCTCCAATATATTTCTTTTAATTTAACTTTCATGTTTCCATTCGCTTATAACATAAAAAAGTATTCTCCTAATTTAAATTTTTTAGTTTAAAAGTAACTGAAAAAGGCAAATGAGTTCAGTTCTGTGTTATAGGCTGTTGTTTTATATACAAATTAAGCCTAAAAATAAGATATTAAATATTTGAAAATTTAAAATAGAAACCCCAATTGATTCAAATAAATTTATATCCAAATGTTGTTGTTTTCATTTTATATTGAACTTATTCTAATTCCAAATTTTAAGAATCAAGAAAGCAAAAAAATATAAATACCAGACAGAGTACAGGTGGGTAATTACATATTCCTAAATCTAAATTACATATTCCTAAATATTACATTAGGAAACAAAGAGCCTCAAATCGCATCAAATGCTCTTAGTCACTATTACTGAATGCCTGATTTTAATATTAAATAAAGAACCACATTAATACTGACCCTTCATCTGTCACTGATGTCATAATTGTAGGCTCAAAATTGACCCTGAACATACCAAACATTGAAACCATAGAAAGAAATTGGTTGTATGTACAATTTGGAAGTAATTTTAGAAATAAAAATTAAAAATCAGGATTTCATACCTTGTGCAAGCATGTTAAATTCCAAGAATAGTGCTATGTGGTAAAGTTCCATGGCTTCTTCTGCCCTGGTCATGTTTGGCTTCCCTGCAACGAGAGCCTGAACTTCACTTAGACTCCCCACAGAGGGGCTACAGTGCAAAACGGAGAGGTCAACCACATCAGTGTACATACAGTGTAGTATTACTTTAGCATATTTTTTTGGTATAATAGACTCGTCTAATATAATTCTTGTGGGAGTCCTCAAAGTTCGGTCTGTGATTTCTTCTCCAGTCCGTATCCTTCTTTGTAATAAATTTCGAAAAAATGGGGACCGTGCAGAAATAATAGCCTTGTGGGCTTTGAGCTCTTCATCCAAGCAGTTCTGATTTCCTCCAAAAGCTTCAACCAACTCAGAGTCTGAAGAAAAACTAAGGACGACATCATAATAACACATGTAATCAAAAAGTCCACGCATATCTACATCAAGGGAATTCGGTGTTCCAAATTCTTCACTAAGCTGAACAAGGATATCGACATTTTGAAACCTCGAGTCCTCCATTCCAAACTCACCCGTATAAAGGTAGTGTAACAAAGCAGAAAACATGGGCATATCAATACCAGCTGTATTGATGTCCATTATTATCTCTGCCCCATACTCGGGTGAGGAAGAAAGCAGTGTTTTAAAAAATGGACACCTTGCTGCCAAAATGGCACGATGAACAGGAAAACAAGTTTCTTGAAATATTAAGTCTACATCAGTACAATACTTGTACTCATAAAGATCAGCCATATCTTTCTGCAATGTCCGGGCTTCTGGTCTAGCCAAACTGGCTTGTAGAGAAAGCTCCTTTAAGGCTGAAGTTCCCTCATATTCCTCCACTAATGCATTGACATCTCTTACATCCCATCCAGAGAGGAGTTCTCGCATCTGCTTGGCATGATCAGCAGACCTATTAGATTTTCGTCGCTTAATAAACTTCTTTTTGAGGGTGGCAAGGCCAGAGGTTCTCTTTTTTTTGTCTTGTGGTTTCTCATGGCCATGTTCAAGGCTATACAATTTTGATTCACAACCATAGCCTTGTTGAGAATAGGATGATGTCCCTAAGAAGAAAATTAAATACATGATAATTTGTTTCTTTTTATTTTAACATTCATTTTCACATAACCTGTTTGAATGCTCAAAAATGTTATAGACACTTCTGGACCACTCAAATAAATCTTTTATTTTTATAAGGGAACATAAAAATTTCAAACAATTTTTATATTAAAATTATAATAATTTTTATATTAAAAAGTAATAGAGACAAATAGAATGAATCAGTCCAAATTTTTTAAAAATGCCTTTGCTTCTCTGGCAATCAAAGGCTGATATCATGGATCTTAATTATGAATTTTTAGGAAATGAAACATAAGTAGAACTGTAAATTAAGAATATCACTTGTATATAATTGCAAAATACTTCTTTTTCTTAACTACACCAAGGCTGCACTTGAATAGGGAAAGTAAATAGACCAGGACACACAAATGGAGATTACTAGTTTGTCTAGGTAAGTAATTGGCAATTTTGGTTAAGATAACCAAAGAAAAGGTCAGTTGCGCTATAAGCAGATTATTTATAATAAAACTCACACAAATCAGATTAATATGTTTGGGGGAATCTAAATGCTGTAGAATTATGATCTACACAATAACTTTCCCATACCTCAATTCTCTTTTTATCCTCAAAGACCACTGAAAACACAATTCTACTTATAGTTGCAAAAGAAAATATAGTTAGAAAAATTAAAATTTACCTATAAAAGTCTGCTGGGCCTGTGAGTTTCCCCCTACCCTCGGGGAGCACGAGTGAGGATAGTTAGATGCATTAGCACCCATTTTCTTCAGTCACTCAGGCATTCCATCTGCTGGTTCTTCAGAGTATAATCCCAATGGCCTTTATGCACTTTCAACCCTGGATCCAGCAGCCTCTTTTCATCCATTTCTTGATATGAAACAAAAATAATTTTATTTATTTTTTCAAATGTATCTAAAGTCACACAGAAACAAGGCAAGTTTACTGAAAACTGCTTTTATTGCAAATAATGATATGCTGTCAAGTTCACACATAAAATTTTCAGAAAATGTAAAGGAACCATTAACCTTGAATTATGACTGTGCTAGCTACAATTTTGAACCATAAAATGTATCAATTAGGTACTTTCTAAGAGAGCAAACAAGAAACATATCAGACCAATTTAAATTACAGTTATATAGGAAGAGTATTTGAAAATGCAGGGAAAAGTATTTTTTAATTTTTATAAAAATGCTTAGAGGCAATCACCAGTAATCATAATCTAATATTCTATGAAATTTACAAACACTTAATAGGTCAATACCAGTACTAGACATACAAAGATGGATAATTAAAAGATTGGTTTGTTGTTTTTCTACTTTAAGATAAAATTGCTTAAATTGATCTTTCATCTGTGTAATTGGACATTTTACTAAAAGAGGGGGAAGTAAAGGTGGACAAAGCTAAATATGTTTCAGCTAAGTAGAGTTTAATTTTGAGAGAAGCTATTATAAATGGAGTGACATATAAGAAAAAAAAATTTTAACCTATACTCCTCATAAAGCCTGAAAATAAAAATACTACTATTATCTGATATTGTGATTAGCATGATAGGGCATCTAAGCAAGAGATAATTTTAGCAATTACAGATTGAATTCTGAATCACAGAATCTCAACTCTCAGAGCTGCTAGCAGGGGATACATGCTAAAAGAGAAGAAACTCTTTAAGAGAGACCACAGGGTTAACAAGAACACACCTAAACCTTTATACCATATGGCTATATAAAATTTATCTGACTCAAAGGGATAATGATTTAAGAAGAATAAAAATAACTTAAAACCTATTATTGAAACTGTTGGGAAAATAATCAGCAAGCAGGCAGCTAATCCAGACTCCAAATGAAAACAAAGTATTTTAACAAGTTGTTAACAAATAAATACATATAATCACTGGAAAACAAAATTGTGTCCAGATTCTTGAAATGTATTGTGATCCTCATTATTGATATAGCATAACCTAAAGAATACACATTTAAGCTGGGTAAAATGGTGCATGACTGTAATCCCAGCAACTTGGGAGGCAAAGCAGGAGGATTTCAAGTTTGAGGTCAGTTTCAGCAACTTAGGGAGATACTGTCTCAAAAATCAAAACATTTTTTTAAAGGGCTGGGGTACAACTCAATGGTATAGTGCCCCTGAGGTTAAATCCCAGTATGGGGGTAGGGGAAATTAACATTTTAAAAAATCATTATTAACATTTGTATTCTATTATACACATGCACATAGATATGTGTGTGTGTGTGTGTGTGTGTGTGAACACTTGTGTATGTATAAATTTATTTACCTAAGTATGTAGACCTCTACTTATAGTATTCAGGAAAAGACCAGGAAACTTCCGAGTAACTAGATGTAGATAATGTAAAGTAGCAGTATGGTAATTAACTCCACTAAATCATTTATGAATAAATTTCCTATTGAAACTTACCTGCCTATCTATGGGAATACAATCCCCCCTACATTTTGCTTCAGTTTATATTATGGGAAATCTGAATGGCTATGGGATGAGACATTACAGTGCATTTCAAACGAACTGTACAGCAAGAAAGCGAAACAATTTATTATACTATTTTATATATTAAGTGGTATAAGACAAACAAGAAACACCCCATAGGATTTAGGATGTAGCTCTGTGGTAAGGTGCTTGCATTTGTGAGGTTCTGGGTTTGATCACCAGCACTACATATATAAATTAATTCTTCCAGCAAAGTCTGTTTGAAAAGAGATAATTTTTAAAAAGTCTGGTGATGAGTGTCACAGCTTTTCATCCCTGAATAATAGAAATGTAGAAAAAGTTGATGCCTTTTTTTCCCCTGGGTAATTAATTTTGAATGTTGCAAAATAGAAATTGAGACCATCAATTTCAGTTCAAACTTAAACTCTGATAAATCCTAGTTTTCAAGTTGAGCCCTAAAGAAAACTCAGATGATTCAAGCTAGGCACTGTGGCATGTGCCTGTAATCCAGAAGCTCAGGAGGCTGAGGCAGGAGGATCACAAAATCAAAGCCAGTCTCAGCAATTTAGCGATGCCCTAAGTAACTAACAGAGACACTGTCTCAAAATAAAATATAAAAAAGGACTGGGAATGTGGCTCAGTGGTAAGTACCCCTAGATTCAATCTATGGTACCAGAAAAAAAAAAAAAAAGATTTTATCAGGTATTTTTAGGCACTCTTTCAAATAAAATAGGGTTCTAGAAACCAAATGTGTGCTTTGCATACAGGTCAGATCCTAATCTTACTCATTAAAAATTTACATTTAAAGCAAAAATAGCACAGACAAAACTTTTTCAAAATGTATGAAATATGTTAAGAAAAACCCAGAATAAAAAAATTATGCAAAATAAAAAGCCTTTACCAAAATGAAGGAGAAAAAAATAGCTAAAAAATTTAGTAGTAATGGTAGATATGAAAATTATGGGTCAAAGAAGTTTCTGAATAAACAAATTCATGATGTCACTCCTGTGGTGGGCTGCTTTTTACTTCCTGTACACATTCTTGGAGTTCTCTATTGCTTCATTTTTGTTAGTCTTGCTTTCTTAATTTCTATTGACTATACAGCAAATTCATTAAGAACACAAAGCCTGCCAATGGCACAAAGTTTGCTAAAACTCAGGAAGAATGAGCGCTGCTTCCAGATGAAGAAATGTAAGGAGGGTCCAGGGAAGTGAACAGACTTGATTACTCTTAGTTCCACAAAATATGTGCATGCACACATATGAGAATTATTTTCAACTGAGAATTCTGAATAATTTGTAAGGAGTCAAGACACTACTACATTGGTCTGTCTGGGATTTAAACCACATCAAAAATGGCTTTTTGGAGGGCTAGGGATATAGCTCAGTTGGTAGAGTGATTGCCTTGCATGCACAAGGCCCTGGGTTTAATCCTCAGCACCATTGAAAAAAAGGGGGGTGGGGTGGGGCTGGGGTTGGGGCTCAGTGATAGAGCTCTGGCCTAGCACATGTGAGGCACTGGGTTCAATTCTCAGCACCACATAAAAATAAATAAAATAAAGGTATTGTTGTCCAACTACAACTGAAAAAAATATACATATATATATATATATATTTATATATTTTAAAATGGCTTTTTGGCCAGGTGCAATGATGCACATCCATAATCTCAGCAGCTCGGGAAGCTGAGGCAGAAGAATCACAGGTTCAAAGCCAGCCTAGCAACGGAGAAACAAAAGCACATAACAAGCATTAGGAGAGTAGAAGCTGAGCTAAGGATGCTTGGCTATTCACCATTCTGAAAAGTAGTATGGGAAGAGCTGGGGGTTTCACCTGGAGAGGTGGATTGAAATGAAAGGGTCTTTGGAAAATTTAGGGACAAATTTGTGGTAGCTCTCTTTGTGGTAGTAGCTCCTCCTTCACTTTAGGACAAACTGATTTGGGTGACATTCACATCCCCTATGGAAGCATGAATACTAAAATAAACACAGGCTTTACAAAGATATAGAAATGGGGGTGGATTTGTCAGCTATAACCCTTAAATCCACCTTGTATCCTCCAGTTCCAAATCCTGGGGGTAACTCTGATTGACTGAGCAGTTCCAGTTCCAAATCCATGTTTCCTCTCAAAATCCCCAGGGAATAATTTCACTGCTTCTCAGGTAACCAAATATCTATTGCAAATGGAGCAGAATGTTATTTATTTTTTAATCTAATCTGATGCATTTAGATGATAGAAATGAGAATTAATAACATTTTCATCTCTCTAGATTTTTTCTTTCCAGGCAAGTCTGGTTTGTTTCCTACAGACAACAGAATGAAACCCAATCTTTGAATGATGTAACAGGAAAGGAAAAGGAAAGCAAAACAAAGCAAAGTAAAATAAAATAAAAGGAAAGGAAAGGAAGGGCTTACAGGACAAGAGAGGCTCAAAGGATGCAAATGGCACCAGAAGCTGATATATCCTTTTTCCAAAATCACCATCCTAGGGAGCTCCCTTTATTAATCCTATGCATGACCAATCCCAATCAGATAATGTGACATGCTTCAGCAATTGCAGCAAACCCAACAGAAAAAATCACGTAGAATGCAACAGCAAGAATAAAAATCCTATGAGAAATTGAAACATGTACACATATGTACACCCTAACTCCTTCTTTCCTCCCCATCCTCCAAGACAGACAACAACAACAAAAACAAAACAAAATAAAATCCTGGGTCAGTATTTTCCAAAGAGTTTTCCCAAACTCTGAAAAAAGCAGTGTTAAACAAAGTCAGATAGGGCTCTTTACCTCAAGACTCTTTAGCACCTTAAAAGTATGAAGGGTACGTGATCTACAGGAATCCTGTTCCTTGACTAAAACCAAAGGAATAAACTTACATAAAACACTTTGGAAAAATTGCATCGCTTTTACTGCTTTATATAGTAGAGAGAATAGTGGGAATTAAAGTATCAGACTAAGTTCTCTGTCACTGATTTACAAGGTATGTAGAAATAGTCACTTAACTTGATGAACCTCAGTTTCCCCATCTATAAAATAGGGAAGCTGAAAAAGAGTTCCTAAAACTTAGGAAATAAAGATGGGGATGGGGGTTATTTCCATACTAAATGTTAGTGTACAGAAAAAAGAAATAGCACTTGGACCTTGTATTTTAAACATATTTCCCCTTTGATTATTATGCATAGGATAAGAATGTGGAGCAAATGCAAATATTAAAAGTAATTCATAATTCAAAACTACAGTTTGTTAGTTTTCACTTGCGTGAAATCTAAGGTCACCGTATAATGAATGTATCATTCAAACTAGAATGAATGTGAGTGAAAAGGCATACAAATCAGATGGGAAGCCAGCACATGTGTAGCCCAGCTGTGACCAAGCAAAGTAGAATGGTTGCTTGTAGCTAAATCTCACATTGCCA